ATCGGTTTGCAACTAATGTAGAATCGATTTTAAAGATAGAATAATTTTGATTAATCTTTAAAATTAAATATTTTTTATTAAAATCTATTTTCTAATTTAGAGTTCATGTGGTGTTTTATCTTCTGGAAAAGACCAGAAAGTAGAATGGTTCATTGAACATTTTGAATACATTTAACTTCTTGTTTGTAATATAATTTATATATATTATATTTTCAATTAGGTATTTATACTTTTATCAAATATACTTTAAAAAATGGAGCCAGGAATAATTCAAGAGAAGCCACTGCCTGCACGAGGCTTAAAACAAGTAAAAGTGGATAATTGGGGATCATTTTTTCTTCAACGACTTCAGACTCTTTACTTGGAGGAACAATTTCTTGATCTTAAAATTAAATTTCCTACAAGTAATATTACTGTACAGGTATAAATGATCTAACGTTTATATTATTAGTATAAAATAATAATATAAAAAAATAATTTGGGACATATATTTTTTTAAATATTAACAATAATATTATTAATACAAATTTCTTCAGGCCCATCGACTTGTAGTAACAACATGTACAGACTATTTTATGCAACTTGAAGAACAGCAGAAAGAAAAAAATGAAAATTTTAATGGTGTAATTATTATGCCTTCAGATATGCCTTATGAGTGTGTTAAATCTATTATAAGGTATTTTTAATATTCACTACAACATTTTTGTCGTTTATTTAATTAATTAATTATATATTCGTATACAGTTTTATGTATACTGGACAATTGGAATATTGGACATCAGAACAACATGCTTTGTATCGTACAGCGCAAAAGATGAATATGACAGTCCTAACAAAGTTGCTCGATGCTCAATTTAACACAAGTAAAATGCAAGATGATGTGGCAAAAACACCTTCACGTCCAGTTATAGCCGTCACAAAACCTTCAACTCCAATTGCAAAAACAATTACCAGCTCCACCAGTTCGGCATCAAACGTATCTGGGCAAACATTGCCAGGTAGAAAGTATGTATTCCATAAGTAATATTACAAACATACTTAATTTTGTGATAATAAAATGTCAATAATCTTTATTTTTAAAGGCTTCCCATATGGAAGAGAAAACTGGATGAATCTCCACCTGCACCAGCGAATTATGAAGTACGAACATTCCACAGTACATCTTCAACACATAAAGAGGCGACTCCTGGCCCATCCAGATTTGATCTTCCAGAAGCAGATGATATTGCTTTGGGAGTATTTTCTTCATTCGATGATATTACGTATAATACAAAACCTATTGTTCAAGCGTGCGATGCATATAAAAAAGACAACTCCTCTCTTAAAGGTTCGCCTGACAGAGATAGTAAAAACGATTCAACTGAAGATGAGGACGAGGATAATCTAGGAAGCGAAAAGAACTTGAGAGACACAAATTCAGATGATGATTGGAATATATCAAAAAATTATGAGAGATCTGAAGAAGGCCCATCTAAACGAGTACGTTTTGATTTGGAGGAGAAGGAAAATGTAGAAAAGCCTAAGTCGAATCATCCGAATACCGATGATTCTATCAATAATCACGCAAAGATTATCAGAGAAGTATTAAAAAAATATCCCCATTTAGTGAAGAACAATAAAAATATTCGCTTGAAAATCATGCAGAAAGAAACAAAATCC